TAGCCGCCAGACCAGAAGTCAGGCCCAGTTTCTCATAGAAGACGTACGAACCCCTAGGGACAAACACCGTGGGGGATAACTTGTTTGGGCGTTCCAGTAGCAGGCTTGCCCTGGGACTGGGCTCTGAGCACGGCGTAGAAGCGCAGAGCAAACAGAAAGCAATGCTGAGCGATGCTAAGCACGGCATAGCAATGTCATGGAAAGAAACGCAACCGAGTCAAAACACGGCAAAGTAACGCAATGCACACAAATGCAACGCAAAGGAATGCAAATCAAGGGAAAGCAAGGCAAAGCAGCACAATGCGAAGCAGTGCAAAGCATTGCAAAGCAAGTCAATTCTTAAGCAATGCAGAGCAATGCAAAGCAAGACACAGCAACGAAAGGCAATGCAAAACAATGCGAAACAATACAAAGCAGTGCACAGTAATTCAAGGCAAGACAACACAACGCAACACATGAAAAGTAGTGCAACGCAGAGCAACGCAAAGAAAGGCGAAACAACGCACTGCAAAGCAATGCAAAGCAATGCGAAGCAAAGCAAGGCAACACAACGCATTGCGAACACACGCAACACAATACAAAGCTTATTAACCCAATGCAATGCAATGCAAAACAATACAAAGCAATGCAAAGCAAGACAAAGCAACGCAATGCAAATAAAGCAATGCAAACCATTGAAAAGCAACGCAAACCAACGCAAAGGAAAACAACACAACGCAAAACCATGCAAAACCATGCAATGCAAATTAAGGCAAGCAGCGCAATGCAAATCAATGCAAATCAATGCAAAGCAATGCAAGGTAAAGCAATGCAAAGCAATGCACAGCAAAACAAATACACAGGCCCAGTTCTTTCCATGACGAGCGAGAGACCCTCAGAGCAAGCACTGTTTGGGGAAACATCCCTCCTTATTCGTCCCCACACGCCTTTCTGTTCACCGCAATCGGCGCTCCCCTTGAACGACCGGCGCAGTTTGGCACTCCATTTCGACATGGCCCCGCTTTGAACACATCGGTTTACATTTTTTTGACGCGCAGTCAGGAATGCGAAATACGGTGATCATACAGTTGAGCAGGGTGTCCAGCGAGATCTTCTTTTCGAGGAAGGACTGCTGCCCAGTCTCCCCCTCTCCATGGAATCGTTGAACATGTTTACTCTCGTGGTCATGGCGTGATTCCGAATCAATCTCAAGCGAGAGCACTAGTCTGAAGAAGAGCCGCCGTTCATCAGTGCAGTGCTGCATTTGTCAATGGCCTTTATCGATAACCCTGTTTTGAGCAAGAGCGGTTCTTCATCCTTTAGTTGCGGGGTAACCGCAAATGTTTGCGGCGCTGAGGCGAGAGCCACACTGTGCAACCGTCTTGTATTCAATCCTTGAAATTGTTGCAACGTTTTGGGACGCAAAGTGCGCGGCGCCATGGCGAGAGCCACAGTTTGCAAAGGAACCGCCTTCCATCCTTGAAGCTGCTGAAAACTTGAAGGACGAACGCGCGCGGTGCTAAGTCGAGAACCACATTCTGGAAATCACTTCAGCCCCATCCTTGACGCTGTTGCAACCGTCTATGACTAGTGAGCGCGGCGCTAAGGTGAGAGCCACATGCTGAAAAGGAGCTGACCTCCAGCCTTTAAGCTTCTTCGAAGTTTTACAGTCGAATGTGCGCTGCGCCGAGCGAGGTACAGTTCGACCAGTTGAACTTTTAGACGACTGTGCGCGGCGCTGAGGCGGGAGCCACATTCTGAACAGGAGCAGTCCTTCATCCATGTAGCTGTTGTGAAGTATTAGAGACGAAGGTGTGCGGCGCTAAGGCGAGATTAACCTCTTGAAAATCACGCGCCATCCATCCTTGAAGCTGTTGCATTCTTACAGACGAATGTGTGCTGCGCTAAAAAGAGAACAGCATTTCGAATTCCACCCTCCACCCATAAAGCTGTTGCAATTGTCAAGTCTCAGTACCATGATTGGTGAGGAGCTCTTTGGCGACGCTCCGGGCCCGCCCTACCGACACATCTAGGGGTGCGACAGGCAGACGTTCCCTTGTCTTTAAGTCGGGCATGTCCCTCTACATGAGGAGCAACCAAAAATAATTCAACAACAGCCTGGGGACGTTTTTCTTGACTGTTGTTCAGTATTTTCATGTAGTTGTTTTGACTCTTTCTCATTTTTCGTCCAACTTCCGCCTGTAGGAGGGAATGCCCGACCTAACCTTACCTGGAAAAGTGATGATGGGTATCGACTTATTCAGCCCACGCCTCTCAATTTCGTGAGGCCGTCAGCTCGGCAGGCATTCGGTCGGCTTTGCGCTTGTGCGACCGCGCTCCCTGCCGCGCCGTTGACACCGACCGCCTTCCGCCTCTGCCAGGTGCACGCGGCCGCCGGGGCACGGAAGGCAGCGCTCCTCTCTCGCGATTCGCAGCCTTCTTCGGAGCCCCCCGCTCCACCCAGCCACGGTGAGCTGGTGGGCCCCGTGGGTGTTGTCCGCAGGGGCGCGAACGGCATCGCGCTGCGTGGTCCGAGCTGCAGGGCGGACCTCCAGGGGGCGGCGCACGTTCGCGACGAAGGCCCCACGAAGTCAGACGATCGGCACGCCCTTTTTTTTCTCCTGCGCGTTCCGTGCCCGACGCCGTGACCTCCCAGGCTGAGGAGAGGAAAGCCAGGGCATAGTTTTTGTTCGGAAGCGATCGTTTCCGCGACCCTCTGGGCACACCGCGTTTCAAGCTCGCAGCGTTGGCGGCGTCGGCCGAGGGCAGGCGTTCTCTGCCTCAGGTGCCCCATGAGGCCCCTGGGATCCGCGCTGGCCCCTCCCGGGCTTGGGAGGAGGAGGAGGAGGAGGAGGAGGAGGAGGAGGAGGAGGAGGAGGAGGAGGACGGGAGGAGGAGGAGCAGGAGGAGGAGGAGGAGGAGGAGGGGAGGAGGAGGAGGAGGAGGAGGAGGAGGAGGAGGAGGAGGAGGAGGAGGAGGAGCTGTGCCTCCTGTGCCCGACGCTGGGGCCTCCTGGATGGGGACGCCGCCTTCGTGGGTCCGCGCGGGGAAGCGCAGCAGGGTTCCGAGAAGGTGGTCGGATGCGCCTGTTTCCGCTCTTCTTTGGGCGCCTTGGGTTTTCACAGGCAGCCTCGCGGTGCCGTCCCTCGTCTTCCGCCCACATGTCCCTCCTTCCCTCCCTCTCCTCCCTCCCTCCTCCCTCTCCCCTCCCTCCCTCTCCCTCCTCCTTCTCCCTCTCCCTCTTCCCTCCCTCTCCTTCTTCCCTCCCTCTCCCTCTCCTCCCTCTCCTCTCCTCCCTCCCCTCCCTCTCCTCTCCCTCCCTCCTCCCTCCTCTCCCTCCTCCCTTCCTCCCCTCCCTCCCTCCTCCCCTCTTTCCTCCCCTCCCTGTCCTAGTTTTTTTCAACAGCTTGTCGATGCGAGCACTATTCTGCCCTCTCCCCCGGAAGATGGCCGGGGAGTGACCCGCACTCTTCCGCGTCTTGCTTTCTTGTCAACGCAAGCAGGATTGCACAAGTTCGTGTTTCGTTTTTTTTTGTGCGACCAGAGCGTCTCCAGTGTCTCAAACTGTGGTTCCCCGTGCAGCGTTGATTTCATGTCGGAGTCGGCGCTGTACCCCACCATCGTTCAGAATTGCGCTTTCTTTCGCCCAAGTGCGGCCCATTTTTCTGGATCCGAATCCTTCCTCATCGTTGTCGCCCCACCCCTATCCCCTCCCCTGCCTTCCCCTGGTCCTCCTGCTCCTCCCGCTCCTTCACTGCAGCTCCCGCTGCTGCTGCAGTTCGTTCTCGGGTGACGGATGGCGGAAGACAGATGATTGATGCAGTCGATGATGATGGTGGTGATGATGATGATGCTGGTGATGATGCTGATTCTGATGATGGTGGTGGTGGTGATGATGATGATTGATACTGATGATGCTGATGCTGAGGCTGGTGATGATGATCATGCTGATGATGATAGTGGTGATGATGTATGACGTTGATGATGCTGGTGGTGATGACGGGGACGGCGATGTTGTTGTTGATGGCGATGCAGATGATGCTGATTATGATGCTGATGAGGGTGATCATGGTGACGACTGCGACAATGATGATCATGCTGATGATGATGGTGGTGATCATGCTGATGATGATATTGATGATACTGATTCTGATTATGATGCTTGCGATGATGATGAGGATGCTGATCCTCATGCTGCTGATGACGATCGCGATGACGATGGCGATGGCGATGACGATGACGATGATGATGATGCTGATGATGATAATGATGATGATGCTGATGATGATGATTATGATGATGATGCTCATGTTGTTGATCATGTTGTTGATCATTATGACGATGCGACTGCTGCTGATCAGGATGCTGATGGTGATGATGGCGATGACACTAATGCTGATGCTGCTGATGATGATGCTGATGATGCTGATGGTGATGATGATGACGACGGCGACGATGGCGACGATGGCGATGATCATGCGGATTACGATGCTGACGAGGATGCTAATGATGCTGCTGATGATGATGGTGACGATGATGATGATGATGATGATGATGATGATGATGATGATGATGATGATGATGATGATGATGATGATGATGCTGATGATGATGATGCTGCTGATGCTGATGATGATGATGTTGATGATGATGATGCTGATGCTGATGATGATGCTGATGATGATCATGAAGATGAAGATGATGATGATGATGCTGATGATGATGCTGATGATTATGCTGATGATGCTGCTGATGATGACGACGATGATGACGATGATGATGCTGCTGCAGATGACGACATGTTGATGATGACGATTATGTTGGTTGCAGTGGCGATGGCGATAATAATGCATATGATGATGACTACGACGATGACGACGACTTTCGTGACGGTGATGGTGCTACTGTGATGGTTGCTCACGATGACGGATGGTCACGGCGATGGTGGTGATGCTAATAGTTATTATTCTCATTATTAGTATATTAGTATAATGAATGTTACCTTTATTCTTATCATTATTATTGTTCTCATTATTATTATTACTATTATGAGGATAATGGGGATGATGATGACGCTGATGATGATGATGGTGATGATGATGATGATGATGATGATGATGATGGTGCTGCTGCTGCTGCTGATGATGCTGATGTTTGTGATGATGGTGATGAAGATTATTCTCAGAAAAATGATGCTACTGTTGCTTGAGGTGACGATGATGCTGCTGCTGCTGATGCTTATGCTGATGCTGCTGCTGCTGAGGATTATGATGATGCTGCTGATGATGATGTCATGATGATGCTGAAGATGATGCTGAGGATGCCGTCGACGATGCTGTTTTTGATGCTGCTGCTGCTGCTGCTGCTGCTGCTGATGATGATGATGATGATGATGATGATGATGATGATGATGATGATGATGATGATGATGATGTGGTGGAGGAGATGGATGTGGAGGTGGAGGAAGACCCAGCGTAGCGACCCTTCCTATTAGCGCCACGTTTCATATTTTCTGTGGGATTCGGGGCGCTTGCGCTTAGTGACGTTTCGCTGCAGAGAGCCTTTAGCCCGCAAGGGGGAGTGCATGGTGAGCCCACCAGTGGGCACGACGCGGTGCTGCTGCCCCGATCCTTCTGCTCCTGTCCTCGCCCCGTCTCCTCGTCAGGTTGTTCCTGCTCCCTTCAGCCCAGGCGTCGGCCAGCCATTCAGTTGGCTGAATCCTCGCCCTCCTCCGTCCCACTCTCTTTCCCCTCTGCACGTCGTGCTGCGCCAGTGCTCCAAATGCTGCTGCTCCTCGCCCTCGCTTGCCCGCACGAGCCGTGCGGGCGGACGAGAACCATGGGCCGCATACAGTGGAGACCCATGACAAGAAACTCCCTCCCTGCCTCCAGGGTGCCCTGGGTTTCTTGGGTTTCGATGGCTCTGCAACGGAGCGCGTGACGCTCTCACACCAAGAATCAACCAAGGGACGTCCTGGGGTCTCGGGGTTGGGTCTCTTGTGGAAGGTCTCTCGTGGACTGCCCTCCACTGTAGTGGGCTCGTTGTGCAGCCGCACGAGCCTGGATGGGGTCCACGGCACGATCCCGCCACGACCCCCCGCGGTGGCCCGTCGGCGGCCCGCGGCGGCCCCACGTCGCTCCGGCGGGCGCAGAACACTGCCGCTCCGGAGCCGTGCCCGCGCCGTGGAACCGGCCACGTCCCCGCGGCCTGGGCTGCGCCCCCTTTTCTCTTCTCATACTACTCCTCCTTCATCTCCTCCTCCTCCTCCTGCTCCTCCTCCTCCTCCTCCTCCTCCTCCTCCTCCTCCTCCTCCTCTCCCTCCTCCTTAGGCTGGCCCAGGACGAAAAGCAACCGTTCCAGGGCGTTCTGGAGCGCTCTCAGATCGGCCTGGAGCGCTTTGGGGATGCTCTGAGACGGCCACGGCGAGTGACGCGTCCTCCCGATCCACCGGCTCTCAGCAGTTCCTGATTCGCCTCGTCCCGAGTTTGGCTTCTTCCTGCCGTCGTCGGGTTTTTTCCCTTCTCCCGAGCTTGGCTTCATCCCCAGCCGCAGTCGTTCGTCCCTCCGGCTTCGTGCTCCCGTTCTGGCCGCCAGCCATTGTGTGTGTGTGTGTGTGTGTGTGTGTGTCAGGGGAGGCCCAACGTACCCTTCAATCGGGCATGTCCCTCTACAGGAGGAAAATTCAAAAATCGTATAAAAATAGTTAGGGGACGATTTTTTGACTACTTTTCAGCATGTTTGGAGTCTTTTTTGAATATTTTAATTTTTCGTCCCAAATCCCCCTGTTGGGGGACAGGCCCGACCTAAACGTTCCCCAGAACAGATGTACCCTGGAGGGGGGGCCTCAGAGCCCACCTCGGGGCGACCAACGGCTGCGTTTTGGCGCCCACCGTGGCCAGACCCGTGGCCGCTGCGACACCTCACTGGGGGGTACGTCGTCCAGGGTGCACGTTTGGCCCTTCCCAGCTGCAACTCCAGTCCTGGCCACGCCCGAGATGCACAGTCTGGCGCGTCCTGGTGCTGTTCCTGATCCTCGTCGTGTCCCTTGTGGTGACTCCTCGGCGGCGCAGAGCAGTGGAGAGCCTAGAAAGCTTGAGCTCCTGTAGTCACTACCACACAGTCTTGCCCTCCCACCTCCAACCCTCCGCAGAGCAACTCAGTCAGCCCTTTCGGTTTGTGTGTTCCTCTGTCAGCGGCAATCATTTGGAGAACCGTTGGTGTTCTTGTCACCAGAGGCCCAGGTTTCTACGGAGTCCGTGGCCCCCGTGAGATCACTTGTGCTGAAACTCGGGATCGCAGCGCCAGATCTCCCGTCATTTTGCTGCTGAGACAACCCAGGTCGGGAAGTTCCTGCCGAAGTACAGGGATGGCACTTTCGACAAGTACATCATTACACAGATGCCTGATGTAATGGGCCAAGATTTTGTGGTGCTACGCTTGTTCGTGGCTCACGCGACCATGAAACAAACAGCAAGTTTGGTAGAGAAGGTAGACATAGTTGGAGACAGCAGCAGGCGGTAGCAAGCGTTGGTCAATCCGCCCGCTCTGGAGCTATCGGTTTATCGCGGACATAACGCGCCGTTGGCATAGCAGCATGCCGTGGCCGTCGCGCCTGTTGGAACAGAGTCATGCGTGAGTTGGCATGTTCGGTTGTCGGCATGTGTGCGTCGGCGTGCAGGATAAAGGTACGGCGTTGCTGTTCGCAAGTGCCATGGAACGCTTTTGTTACTGATTTTTGTTGTGTTCGCTGCGTCGGTATCCCCTGGAGTCCCTGCTTTTCTCGGTCGGCTGCTGCGGCTGCTCGTCCGTCCCTGGCCGACCCTCCTCCTTCCATCCCTCCTTCGCTCCCTCCATCCTGATCTTCCCTTTCGCTCCTCCTTTTCACTCTCCCACTCCCATCCCCTTTTCGCCTCTCCTCCCCTCCTGTTCCTCTCCATCGCCTCCCCTTCTCTACCCCCCCACTCTCTGTCTCCACATAGTGGTTCATTTTTTTTTTTTTTTTTTTTTCCTCTCTCTCTCTGTTTCCCTTGTCCGTTGTTTTCTCCTTCTATTGTAAACATGGGTGCACACTTGTACACATAGAGACATGCGTGTAGGCTACATATGACTCTGCCCCATCGTCCATCCTAGATATGAATTCGTACCATCCCAGGTAGGCTGGTATCGGCACCCTCCATCATCCTCTGCCAAAATACTATGTGCGCGCATTCGTTTATCAAACATGATCCGTTTTCAAGAATCCCTTGTACACACATGGGACGAAGTGGGCACGCGCGCGTCGTCGCGCGAACATGCCGAAATCCTTCAAACACTCAAGGTGTCGTACGGATTTCACAATCGAGTGTCCCGAACAAATATATAAAAAACGGAACATGGTTTCGCAACACGAACTTTCAAAGAGAAAGATTGCGCTCGGGCTCTTGCGAATTCTTAAGAAAACCGCATGTTCCCCAATCAGTGCCTGCACTGCAGGGGTCCTATTCCCCAAAGCACTGAAGGGGTTCTCGCGGAAGTTGAAGGATTTTGCGGAAGTTTCCCGCCGGTTTTGGTCGCACGCTGGGTTCCCGGGTTCCCGGTTCTGGGTTCCCGGGTTCCCGGTTTTGGGGTCTGGGCCGATTTCGGAGGGCGGCGAGGTTTCCTGGTTCCCGGGTTCTTGGTCGATCTTCTTATCGATCGGTCTCACCATCGATTCCATTACCCACTTCTCTATCGATCTCACCATCGATCTCACAGTCGATCTCTCAAGCGGCGATCCCACTAGAGATCTCATGAGCGATCTCGCGATCGATCTCACGATCGATCTCATTGAATCGATTTCACTCTCGGTCTCACGATCGACCTTACGATCGTCCTCACTATCGATTCCACTATCGATGTCATTATCGATCTCACAATCGGTCTCAAGATCCATAGTATTAATTTCAAATCATCCACACATTGGGGTTTTCTCAGGTGTAATCGGATATTGAAAGATGTGGCGAAAGTTTCCCGCCGATTTTGGTAGCCGGCTGGGTTCCCGGGTTCCCGGGTTCTGGGTTCCCGGGTTCCTGGTCATTGGTTCCGGCCGATTTTGGTGAGTTTCGGGTTCCCGGGTTCCCCGTCGATCTCTTCATCGATTTTTTTGTCGATCCCTTTTCAAGCCATCCATTGATTTGGGTTTTTCTTTGGTGACATTTTTTTCTCAACAGTTTCAAACTTTGCAACCAAACGGGCCTCTCGCGCGCGCGCATGTCGGACTCGCTAGAACGCCCTGGTGCGCGTGCTGTCGCAGTGCAGTAATCCCTTGCAACCTATGAGACGAGGTGCACAATCGCGCTCCGTCTCGCGCGCATGCCGAAGTCCTTCAAAAACCGTAGGCTTCGTACGGGTTTCAAAGTCGAGTGTCCCGAATACACGCATGTGTATAAATGTATATATATATATATAGATATCGGAAAAAAGCAGGGTTTCGCAACACGACTTTTCAATCAGAAAGCTTGCGCTCGGGCTCATGCGACATTCTGTAGGAAGCAGTCTTTTCAACAGTGTCATACCTTGCTACCAAGCGGACCTCCCTCGCGCGCGCATGTCGGAGTCGCTCGAACGCCCTTGCGCGCGTGCTGTCTCAAGAATCCCTTGCAACAGCAAAGACGAAGTGCACACGCGCGCGTCGTCGAGGGCGCATGCCGAAACCTTTCATAAACCTTACGTTTCGGCGGGATTTCAAACTCCAGTGCCCCGAAACATTTACAAAACAGCACATGGTTTTGCAACATCACCAGTTTTCAAAATTGCCTGCGCTCGCGCCTTTTGCGGACTCTTAAGATAACCATTTCTTGATGCACATCTTCAGTCGATTCGGCCAAACGGGCCCGTCGCGCCGCATGTCGAAACCATTCGAGCACCCTTCTGCGTGGGCGGGGGGGGGGCACGATCCGTGTCAAATAACACCATGTGAGTTCCTTTCGCGCGTTGTCCACGCGCGCATGTCGAACTCCCTCCAAAACTTTCATTATCGCCGACTCGAGAAAGGCGTCATCGTCGTCGGCTCAGCATCAGCGCCGTCGCTGGCCTTGTCGTCGTCGTTGTCACCATCGTCATCAGCATCGCTACCATAATCATCGCCGCGTTTACCGTTGCCGACGTTGCCATGATACCGCGCCCGCGCAATGAAGTGTTCGCTGGGTTGTGCCCGCCGGTCAGCGCCACCGCGGCCTCGGATGTCGCGCCAATAAGCTGGGTGCTGCGGACTCGAGCATCCGCGGACTAGCGCGGCCGCAGAGATGCGCCAGTTAGTTCCAAGCACTCACCGCACTCGCCGTCGAATGGGTTTTGAAAACCAAATTGCGGGCTGGTGGGTGGGTTGACTGCGCGAGCAGTGGAGTGGATTGTTCATTGCGAACGGAAATCAATTCCACTATTTAGATTCTCCGCTTCAGAAATTAAGCAGGATCCACCTCCCCCACGGACTTATCGGCACCCATCTTCGTCTTGCAATGTGCATCTGATTCTGCCTTGTCGTCCATCCTCAGAACTAATTCGTGCCATCCTAGGCATGCCGGAATCGCCCGCGCCCCATCCTCTGCACAAGAAAATATGCGCGCGCGCTCGTTTATCACATATCCTCAGTTTTTACGACGCCCTGGTCACGAATGGGACTAGGTGCACGCGCGCGCGCCGTCGGGCGCGCATTTCGAAATCTTTCAAGCATTTGAGTTTTCGAAGGGATTTCAACATCGAGTGCCCCGAAACATATAAAACAACGGTTTCGCATCGCTGGTTTTGGGGAAAAGCCTGCTCCCGCGCTCTTGGAAATTCTGGAGAAAACCATCGGTTTTTCAAATTGCCATGGCGTGCTACCAAGCGGGTCTCTCGCGCGCGCACGCTCGAACGCTCCTGCGCGCGTGCTGTCGTAAGAAACCCTTGCAAGAGATGGGGCGAAGTGCATGCGCGCGCGTCGTCGCGCGCGCGTGCCGAAATCTTCCAAGCACGTTGCGTTTCGCAAGGATTTCAACAGCGAGTGTTCCGCAAACATGTAACAACATATGGTTTTGCAGCAGAAATTCTGAAGAAAACTGTATTTTCGTTGCTGGCGCGTTCTGCCGCGCGGGCCTCTCGCGCCGCGTGTCGAGGTCATCCGAACGCCATTTTGCGCGTGCTGGGGGGCACGATCCGTGTCAAATTATGCCTCGCGGGCCACCCGCGCGCGTCGGCCGCGCGTGCACGGCGAATTCCGTCCAAAATTCGCATCGCCGACGCAAGGACATCGTCGGCGTTATCGGCGGGCGTGACCAACGTCGGCGCCGTCGTTGGCCTTGCCGTCGTCATCGCCACCGTTGGCACCAACATCGCTACTCTCATCATTGTGCCTACCGTGTTCGCGTCGCCATGATGCCGCGCCTCCCACTTCGCCGACTCGCGCTGCAGCGCCCTCTGGAAGTGTCCGGCTTTCTGCGCCACCGCGGCCGCGTCGGTCGCGCTGCGTTGGCCGTTCGCTGCGCGCGCGAGCATGCGCGGGCTGGCTCGGCCGCAGAGATGCACCAGCCAACGCCGCGCGCTCGTCAACATCGCCGCCGCGTGGGTTTTGGAGAACACGTTGCGGGTGGGTGGGTGGGATGTTTGCGCGAGCAGTGGGGTTGACCATTTCGAATTCGGTAGAGTGGATTCCATTGCGTAGATCGCCCCGCACATACGGTGCCGCATAGTCCGCGCAACATAGTCCACAAGAGTCATGGGATCTACTTCCCCGCCCCCCCGGACATGGCGGGAATCCTTCGCGTGTTGCAATTTGCCCATGGCACAGCCCCGTCGCCCATCTTAAATATGAATTCGTATCGCGCCAGCCAAACCGGCAACGCCCCCCCCCCTTCCCTTCCTCTGGAAAAGAGATTATGCGCCCGCATTCGTCTATCACATATTATAAGTTCCCCAAAACCCTTTTCAACGTAAGTAGAGGAAGTGCACACGCGCGCGTTGTCGCGCGCGCGTACTGGAGCCATTCAACAACTTCGGGCGTCGCGAGGATTTCGACATCGAGCGCCCTGAAAACGCGTGACGCGCATTTTCGCAACGAGGCGTTTCAAAACACATTGCGCTCGCGCTCTTGCGGGTATTTACGAGGCGCATTTTCTTAGAAAAGTTCCTATCATGGCATGCCTCCAAATTGGCCTCTCGCGCTTGTGTCCAAATCGTTCGCGCGCACTTGCGCGAGCGCTCTCGGGATCATTTTGCTAAAACCGCGGCGAAGCGCTCGCGCGCGCCGCCGCGCGCGCGCCGAAATCCCTCAAGAACCTCGCGTCAATATCGAGCGCCCCGAAAACATTTGACAACGCGTGTTTTAGCAACATCGACCAATGTACCCGCGCTGTTGCAAGTCTCGAGGATTTCCCTCCCCAGTCTTTCATTGAATTTGGTCAAGCGGGCCTTTCGCGCCGCATTTCAACATCATTCGAACGCCCTTGCGCGCGTGCTGGGAGGGTTGCGCAGTCCGTGCCCAGTGATGCCGCGCGGGCCCCGCTCGCGCGTTGGCCGCTCGCGCGTGT